AACATCCCAGGGGAGTAAGTGCTGCTAAAAATTGAAGAAAGGAAGAACCCAACCAACAACTGTAAGAAAAGAAAAAAAGACCCTCAGTGTGGTCCTGTTCCTATACTAGTCTATAGAATTTAAGTACCTAACTTTGCTATCATGATGAAACCCCTCTATGAAGCCTCAAAGGAAGGTGAACAGGAGCTCCTGCCATGGGAAAAGGCCCAGAAACAGGCCTTTAAATGAATTAAACAGGCTTCTCGCCTTTTGAGATTCTTTGTGGGTGGCCACCCCCTCTCGTTAAGGGCAAACAGGGAGACTTAAAGGAATTAGGAAGTCTGACCCTAAAACAGCAAATGCAAGCCTTAGGTTCAGTCCTAAATGCCATCCATTGTCAAGACAGAGAACATTGCCAATTAGTTTAACTACCAATGCCCATTCTTTTAAGCCAGGTGATATGGCATGGGTAAAAGAGTGAAATGTACAACCTCTAAAGCCCTTCTGGAGGGGGCCATTTACTGTTCTTTTATTTACCCCAACCACAGTCAAAGTAGCTGAAGTAGTTCCTAGGATCCATTATAGCAGAATTAAGTCAGCCTTCCAGGACTGGGAGTGCACTGCAGATTCGGCAGCTCGAGCCCTGCTCTAGAAGCCTGAGGATTCTTCATGCCCTGCTTCAGTCACACACTGGAAGCTGACTGATTGACACAAGGCAGAAAATTGAGGATTCAGCTTAAGAACTCAGCAGACATTACTGATAAGCCATTGTTTTGCTTTGTCAACCTTTATATTTGCTAAGCTGTTTGTCATTTTAATTGCTGTAGAAGTAACTTTATTTGCTGTAGAATTAACAGAGGTGTCCCCATTGAACATGTTAAAAAAGGGTTTCACTAGCATTTCCGTTCTTTCTTATAATAGGAAGTGTCCTTGTGCTTTTATGTATTTCTGCCTAATTTGGGTGTTTATCACTTCCCTCACACACCCAACATGTGCGTGTATAGAAACAATCTGGCCAAACGTAAGAGTTTTCCATTGTTATTCAACCCAGCCAGAAGTTTGCTCTGGTGACCAACAAGGCCTGTTTGGTATTGGGCATCTGCTTGTGCAACTAAATTTTCTCAATGTACTAAAGGGCTATTTTGGACATATGAAAAGGTTGCATATGCCCAGCTCCCAGCATCATGGAAAAGCACATGTACCATAGAAATAATCCAGCCAGGATTTTTCCTTCTGCCTAACCCAAGGGGGGATGAACTAGGCATTCCCCTTTATAAAGCCTCAAAACACAAGATGCTCGATCCCTTGACCAAGTTCCTAATTTAGAAGGGACCCAGTTTTGGAAAGATGATGAATGACCACCCCAGAGAATTATAAATACTTATGGCTCAGACACATGGGCACAAGATGGGAGTCGGAAGTGTCACACGCCTATATATATATATGCTAAATCGCATTATTAGGTTACAAGCTATCTTAGGAATTATAACTAATCAAACAGCCACGGCTTTTGAGCTTGTTGCTCGTCAACAAGCCCAAATGTGCGTAGCTATTGATCAAAACCGCTTAGCTTTGAACTACCTGCTAGCGGAAAAAGAAGTATGTGGTACATTTAATAGCTCTGACTGTTGTTTGCAAATAAATAATAATGGTAAAGTTATAACTGATATAGCCACCAATGTTAGAAGACTTGCCCATGTCCCGGTGCAAAAATGGCAAGGCATAAAAATCGGCAATTAACTGAAAACATGTTCTTGGGTCTGAGAGGATTTAAGTATATGACTGCATCTGCAGTCCTGTTGGTGGGATCCTGTCTTATACTCCCTTGCATAGCCCCAAGAATTATGAACGCCATTTCTAAGTGTATGGAAACAGTTACTGAACGAAAAAAACTGCGGCCCATATAATGTTAATACACCAAATTAAGGTTGATGATGCTTTAGATCGATAAAAGATCAAGCGTCAAAGCGGGGAATAGGCTCTCAGCTCCCGAGCGGCGCCGGGCGCCGTCCGCCGCATGCGTACCTAGGCCGAGGCCCGCCCCGCTCGCAAGGACGCATCTTATTTTATTTTGTTCATGGTTTTTGCTTAGGCTGAAGTTTTGTGGGTCGGGTTAAACTCGGGACCTCCGCCAAGAGGCCCCGTGTGTTTTTGTATTTATTTTTTTGATTTCCAAAATGGCAGCCTCCAGCCGCGCACGAGTGTTATATCTGTACCGGGAGATGCTGAGAGAGAGCAAGCGTTTCAGCACATACAACTACAGAACATATGCTGTCAGGAGGATAAGAGATGCCTTCAGAGAAAATAAAAATGTAAAGGATCCTGTAGAAATTCAAGTCCTAGTGAATAAAGCCAAAAGAGACCTTGAAATAATTCGTCGACAGGTCCACATTGGCCAACTATATTCAACTGACAAGCTGATCATTGAGAATCAAGAGATGCCTAGGACCTAGGGAGCCGGGAAACAGCCACCAGAGGCGGCCGGGGGACCACCTTCAGTATCCACTCTCTCCTTGGGATGGGGGCTCCCAACATCAGCTTAAAATAGCCTCTTGCTCTGCCTGCCTTGTAGGAGCTGATAAACTGAATCACATTTCCATTCTGTTGCAGTCTTAGTGAAAAGGGCAGCCATCTCTCCTGGGTTCAAGGGTCAGAATGAAGAGCTGGAGCTCACTCTCAAGTAATGTGTGTTGTTATGTCTCCTCTCTACCCTGCTCCTATCCTGTAGCTCATGACCACTGTGTAGATTTCCAGACTTTGTTTCCCGGTCCTTGACAATAAACAATTGTCTCCCTAAAAAAAAAAAAGGGGGGGGGAATATAGCAGAATGGGGCAAATGCTCAAATATATATTTCTTGTGTAATTGAGTGAATGAATGGAGAAACACATGAGTAGCTGCTTCGGGGTCAGCAGTTGGCCCTATGGCAATCACCTGGGATGACAAATTGTCTCCCACTAACCCTGTGGCAGGAAGGGAGGCTGGTAGCAGTTAAAGGTATTTCCTTTTGAAAATCAAGCTGCAAGCTTTAAAGACCCTCCAGGTCAGTTTTGTTTAAAAAAGCCAAGTAGACAAGAACTGGTGGCTTTCATGGAAATGCAAAGGAGTAACTAATTCACAGACTTATCCAAAACCCCTCTTTTGAAGTTGACAGTTTACAACCCTACTTGCAGACCCTGCTGCCCTGCAGTTCCTGGAGACCATTTTTTTTTTTAAAGATCTGATTTTTCTGAACACCACCTTGTAAATTCCAAAGAGAATGTGTAATCGCTCAACACAACCCCTCCCTTACCTAAATGAAGGTATAAGACCCCGCTTCTCCTGCTCTGCGGGGCTCGACCTGGAAGCAGTAGCCCTGTTGAGACTGCCGAGCCAGTCGGTGTAATAAAGTGTCACTTCCTATAATAGTCTTGGTGTCACGATCTCTCTGTCTTCTCGCTACATTAAATTAAAATGTCTTAAAAGCAGTCAGGATATAAAGCACATTATGATAAAATGATAAAGTACTAATAAAGACAGATAAAAATAGTAGGATAATTCTACTGTAAGTTAGAAGGCAATTAATTGACATATTTAAAGTACTGAGAAAAAAAAATCAACTGAAATTCTTTTTATTTTTTATTTTTTTGAGTTGGAGTCTCACTCTGTCGCCCAGACTAGAGTGCAGTGGCCACTCCCGGCCACCGCAGCCTCACCTGCTGGGCTCCAGCGATCCTTCCGCCTCAGCCTTCCAAGTAGCCGGAATTACAGGCATGCACTACCACGCCCGGCTAATTTTTTGACTTATTGTAGAAATGAGGTCTCACCAAGTTGCCCAGGTGGGTCTCGAACCCGCGGGCTCAGGCAATCCACTCACCTCAGCCTCCCAAAGGCGTGGGATTACAGGCTGAGCCACCGAGCCCGGCTGTGAAATTCTTTTTATTCACCAAAAATAATGTTTGAAAATGAAGGCAAGGGACTTTTATTCTCCATCCAGGCATGTAAGGAGCTTGGAAATTCTATCATCCTTACAATAAGAAAAAAATAACATGAAAAACAACAGCTCCTTTGATATGTCGGGGAACTGAGGTTACAGGGAAAATGGCTGCTCCCCATGCCCCGCCAATGGAGACAGAGAATCACAGCTTACCAGAGCAGAAGCCCAGGAACAGAAACAAGGATAGGAAAACTTAAGCTATAATTGGTAAATTTCTGGAGGCTAAATGTTAAATAAAACTTCAGGAGGGGCCTTACACACAAAAGTGACTGCACACACTTTTATTAGTTTTACCTCCACAAGCTCTACTAGGTTCGCACAGTGAAGATCAGAGAAAAAAAAAATCCCGTTATACTTCTGGCAGGGGAGGGAGAAAATAGCCATTGAGAATATGTCCACAGCATTCTGTTCTTAACAAGGCCCATCCTAAAGGGAAATTATTTTATCAGAGCCAAAGTTAATGAGATTTTACCAGAACTAATCAACCTGGGGAAGAGAAATGCTCACACAAGCCCCCTCAAGCCTTCCACATGAGGGAAAGGAAGTGCTCAACGCCAGTCCCCTCTACCTTCCTGTTTCACCTAAAAGGAACAAAAACCCCAAACTAAGAAGCACCTGTGAAGGTCACAAGCCAGGGGTACAGGCTCACAGAAAGACTGAGACCTAATCACAGAACTGTAGACTACTTTCCCTTCTTACCACCACATGAATAGGGCTCCTATATAACAGCAGAGGATTACAGCTGAAAAAATTGCACATCTCAAACCTTATTTAAGAAGTCTTGGCCGGGCTCGGTGGCTCAGCCTGTAGTCCCAGCACTTTGGGAGGCCTAGGTGAGTGGATTGCCTGCGCCCGCAGGTTCGAGACCAGCCTGGGCAACTTGGCGAGACCTGGTCTCCACAATAAATCAAAAAATTAGCTGGGCATGGTAGTAAGTGCCTGTAGTTCTGTCTACTTGGAATGCTGAGGTGAAAGGATCGCCAGAGCCCAGCAGGTCGACCCTGGGGTGACTGTGAGCGTGCCACTGCACTCTAGCCTGGGTGATGGAATGAGACTCCAATTCAATAAAATTTAAAAAAAGAAGTCTTTAGGGATACCCAAAGGGGAAGGAAAAAGGAAGAATACAAGAGGAATTTTAACTCTGAAACCTACAGCAACAGCAAACAATAAACAACCTGACTCCCAACCAGATCAAAGTTTCACACTAAAGCCCTTTTTCCTCGGTTACTTTTCATCAGTATATCAAATCTGGCTTTCAACAATAAATTACAAGGCATACTACAATAAAAAACATAGACTTTGAAGAGATACAGCAATATTCAGAACCAGTTCACAAATTGAAGAGATGTTAGAATTATGAGAGGTAATAACTGTGATTTAAAACATCCATGATTAATATGCTATGGGGTCTACTGAAAAAAGTGGACAATATGAAAGAACAAATAGGCAGAGATGGAAACTCCAAGAAAGAATGAAAAGGAAATGCTAGAAACCAAAAATATTGTAACAGAAACGAAGAATGATTTTGAGGGACCCATCAATAGACCAGATATAGCCAAGAAAAAAATTAATACGATTGAATAAAATGCCAATAATAACTTCTAAAACTGAAATGCAAAGAGAAAAAAGAATGACAAAAATAGAACAGAACTCAAGAACAGCGGGACAATTAGAAATGCAAAATTATTCATAATGGGAATACCAGAAGAAGAGAGAGAGAGAGAAAGGAACAGAGTATATGTTTTAGGGCATACGATGTATACAAATGTAATCTGATGACATCAACAACTGAAGAGATGGGGACAAAGCTGTAATGAAGTAGAATTTTTGTAGGCTATTAGGGTTATACTAGTATAAACTCAAATTAGAGTGTCATAACTTTAGAATGTTAACATATAATCCCCATGGCAACCACTAAGAGAATATCTATGGAATATACACAAAATAAAGAAAAAGAAAGGAATTAAACATTTTACTACAAAAAACCAGGTAAATATAAGACAGTAATGCAGGAAAGGAGGAACAAAAAAAAAGTAAGGTATGTAGAAAAGAAAAAGCAAAATGACAAAAGTCTTTCCTGATCAGTAACTACTTTAAGTATAAATGGATTACTCTCCAATCACAAGACAGGGATTAGCAGAATGGATGAAAACACATAACACAATGATATGCTGTCTACAAGAGACTTACTTTAGATTGAAAGACACAAATAGGTTGGAAGTGAAAGGATGGAAAAAGATAGTCCATGAAAATAGTAACCAAAAGAGTGCAGGGGCAATTATACTAATATTAGGTAAGATATTTTAAATTTTTAAAAGCTTATAAGATAGAAAAAAGAACACTATATATTAATAAATGGCTCAATACAGCAAGAAGGTATAACAATTATAAACTTTTTATACCTAAATTACATACCACAAAAACATATAACTGACAAAATTAAAGGGAGAAATAGTTCTAAAATAATACTTAGAAACGTCAATAGCCCACTCTCAATAATGGATGGAACAACCAGAGAGATGATTAGTAAGGAAACCAAGGACTTAACACAATAAACCAACTAGATTTAACAGACACATACAGGATACTTTACCAAATAACAACAGCATACACGGTTTTTTTTTTTTTTTTTTTTTTTTGAGTTGGACTCTCACTCCTTCACCCAGGCTGGAGTGCAGTGGCACGCACACTCACAGCCACTCCAGTGTTACAGTATTCTTAAGAGCACATGGAACACTTCCCAGGACAGACCATATGCTAGGCCACAAAATGAGTCTCAGTAGACTTAAAAAAATAGATAACACACAAAGTATTTTCTCTATCAACAATGGGATAAAGATAGAAATCAATAACAGAGGAAAAACTGGAAAACTCACAAATTTGTGGAAATTAAACAAAACTTATTTGTTCTTTTTTAGAGACACTCAGGCTGGAGTGCAGTGGCATAATCATGGCTCATTGTTCCTCAACCTTCTGGGCTCAAACAGTCCCCCTGCCACAGCCTCCTGAGTAGCTGGGACTACAGGCATGTGTCACTATGCCCAGCTAATTTGTAAAATGTATTTGTAGAGATGGGGTCTTACCATGTTGTTTAGGCTGGTCTTGAACTCCTAGCCTCAAGTGATCCTCCCATCTCAGCCTGTAATAGGTATGAGCCACCACACCTGGCCAACACAAACATCAAAGAAGCAATTACAAGAAAAATCAGAAAAACACGAAAACAATATCAATACATGAATGCAGCAAAAGCAGCGCTAAGGGAGAAATTTGTAACAATAAATGCTTACGTGAAAAATATAAAAGATGTTAAATCAACAAACTAATGTTACAACTTAAGAAATTAGAAAAAGAAGAACAAACTAAATCTAAAAACTAGCAGAAGGAAATAATAAAGATTAGAGCAGAGATCAACAAAATAGAATACAGAAAAATAATACAGAAAAATCAATAAAATCAAAAATTGTTTCTTTGAAGATATTGATAAAATAGATAAACCTTTAGCTAGACTAAGAAAAAAATTCAAATTAGCAAAGTCAGAAATGAAAATGGAGACATTACTACCATTTCTACAGCAATACAAAGGATTATTATTAAAAAGTACTGAAAACAACTGTATACCAACAAATTAGATAACCTAGATGAGCCAGACAAATTCCTGGACACACCAAACCTTCCAAGGCGAAATCACAAAGAAATAGAAAATCTTAGGTAGACCTACAACTGGTAAGCATATTACATCAGTAATAAAAAAATCTCCTAACAAAGAAAAGCCCTAAACCTAATGACTTCACTAGTGAATTCTACCAAACATTTAAAGAAGAACTAATACCAAT